AAGCTTGCTACAAGCCTGTTAGACTCCACAGACTTGTTACAAGTTGTTCCAACAACTTGTTTTCCATTTTAGTAGTGCAATAGTGTATAAGGGGCCGATTACATGGAGCGAGTTGTCCTGACTAGCCAAGTTGGCTAAGCGAGTTTACTTTTGAGTTACGATTACGTGTACCATGTTGACCTGGGCTGAAGTAAGCTCATTAATCCACAGTAAAATAATCGTTGATAGCAACTGATCAAATATCGTTTATGTGTTGTTGAAAGTTGTAACAAACCTGCAGCGCAGACTTGTAGCAATGCTGTTCCAACAACTTGTCGACAGGATGTGTTCGCACTGCTTGTTCCCAGCTTGTTGACAACTTGCTGCAAGGCTGTTGAGCTCAACCGAATTGTTACAAGTTGTTCCAACAACTTGTTATCGTCTTGCAATTCAACAAATTTGTCAACAAGTTGTGAGTGACAACCTTGCAGCAAATTGATAAAATAACAGCATTGTTACAACTTGTTGACAAGCATGCTACAGACCTGTTAGGCTCAACAGACTTGTTACAACTTTGTCCAACAACTTGTTATTGTCCTGCAATTCAACAATTTGTCAACAGGTCGTGAGTGACAATTTTGTAGCAACTTGATAAAATAACAACATTGTTGCAACTTGTTGACAAGCTTGCTACAAGCCTGTTGCGAATATATCTTGTTGACAAGTTGTGAGATTTTTACGTGTTTTTTTTGTTACAGCCAATCATCACCAGAAAACAATGCACGTCAACGCACTGTTGTTTCAACATCTCATGTGAGACTAGAAGCTCCCGATCATGCAGTATTCTTAACTCCCGAGGACGAAACCTTCAATGCTAGGGATAACTATGGATTGGAATTTGATTTCGGTGTTGATGACAATATATCGCTGGATAGAGGATCTTTGTCATCAACAGGTACCCCTGTCTTACCCGATTTATCCTCGGCATCATCATTTGAAGATCTACCGCTGGATTTTTCGTCAGATGCTTCAGGGTTGCAGGCTCGGGATAGTTTCACGGCTTCGTCTAAATTGTCGCAAGGTTCGTTCTTAGCTTTGACATTTTTGGCCTTGACCCACTTTTCAGAAAGATTCGTATTTTTTTGTGAAATTCATTAATAACTCATGAAAAAAACACAAAAGAAATCATGAGCGTGAAGGAGTTTGTATATTGCAAATTCCCAGATCATGACATAAACACTTTAATCATTGCAACTGCACGTATACTGTAAGTAGTATTGGCACGCATTGGCCCGCACACAGCCCGCAAATCGCAGGCTTCAACACTGAGCTATATATTTCATAAGTAAATTCTACTACATAACTTCAATAAGACCCGGGTTGGGCTCCCTGTGAAATCACTGGGTGTTTGTGTTCAATATACCTGAAAATATTCTTTGAAGCTGAGGAAATTTTTTTTTCTCAGGCAGGTCTGATACAAAATGACAGTAGCTTATTCATTGAGATGTACTATTTATAACATGAGCTGCCGTGTTGTATTGGATATACAAACTCGAGCCGAAGACAAGAGTTTGTATATCCGATAGAACATGGTCGCTCATGTTGTAAATGGCTTGTGAAACGTCTTGATGAGAACATTCGTATTCTTCAACAATTTAAAATAAGTGAATTATATTTGGTGAGAAAAATGGACTTAAAGTTTATGTAAATCAGCATGATTTTGTATCCATATTTCGATTATTTAAGTTATTCTAAGAATTTTTGTAATATATCTTATAATTCGAAAATTTAATCTTCATGGACTTTTTGTGGCGCTGGAAGTTGGCAATTTT